ACATGGCTTTGAAACACTTCAGTGTCTGTGTAACTTTGTTTGGACTCAGTGCAAAATGGTAAACCTATGACAGTCACAGCCAATCACAGTCATTTCTGTTGAGCATGTGAACACAGTGGCCAATCAATGGTGTTTAAGAACGAGCTCAGTAGCACTCAAATGCTGGTGGAAAATGGATATTTTTAATATTTCAGTATTGATTGATACCAAACTCAATACTTTTGACCACACTAATGTGATATTTTCTGTAGGAAAATCTAAACTACACAGTCTAACAAATTAGCTTTAAAGCTTAATATCTGTTCCTCTGTGAGTGTCTATATGCTGCCATGTTTAAGGTGCTGGTGCAATGGCATGTTTAATTACACTAATTCAAGTATCTTTTTTCCAAGTGTCAAGTATTTAAAGTTTTTTTGATAGATTTTTAAACCTTTTCGAAAACTTGTGTTTTAGGGTTGAACATGTTTATTATATTTTTTGTCTGTATTGCTGTTTACAGTATATTACAGCACTTTACAACAGGTTTTTACAAAACTGTATTGTGTACAAGTGTATTGTGATACTAAAATATCACAAGTGTATTGTGAAATTCTGCTAATTTTGTCAAATAAAATGTTTACATTTAAGACCTGTATAATGTCATTACTTGTAGTTGAACTACATATTTTATGTTCAGTTTAATTGAAGAAAATGTGGAAACCGATTGCACGTAGTTTCTTTAGTTGACATTACTTAAAATGGTGGATTAAAACAATGTTGAGACTACTAGCATTCAAGATGTTAACTGAACATGGTAGAACAGTATTAGTTAAATAGAGTTATTAAAGTAATCTTACTATAAAACCCTAAGTAAGATTACTAAATAATGACAAGTATGTTAACTAGAATTTTCTATTAAACTTACTTAATTTTTAACAGTTAGTTTACTTTATAAGTTTTAGTTTTCTTACTTCAAGGCAATAATTAAACTTAACTTAAGATTTCCTTGTAAGTTTATATTGCAAAAATAAGGCAATCGGTTTCCAAACTTTTTTTAAGTAAACTGAACATGTTAGAATTTACAGTGTAAGAATGAAAAAAATACAGTCCTGGCATATGGTCTAACAGGGCTGTGCTTATTCTCTTAAGAGTTGTGGGTGTGTTTTGAGTATAACATGCATTAAACCAATTAGAGTCTCAACTCTGATCAATATTTCCTTTAAGAGTGAGTTGTGTCGTGCCATGACGCATTTGCTATTTACATGGCGGACTTTGTAAGTGGAAAAACTGAAAGCTTTGAGAAAACAATTAAACAAACCATCTGCAGCGAGAGAATAAAAAACAAAGCTCCTCCAATCGGCCTCTTTACTTTCTCTTTACTTTGACTCTTTGTTCCATTACTTTCGCGGATAAGAAAATGGTGTTGTACACACTCCACTGTAGACATCCATTCATTCATTCATTTTCTTGTCGGCTTAGTCCCTTTATTTATCCAGGGTCGCTGTAGTAGAATAAATCGCCAACTTATCCAGCACGTTTTTACACAGCAGCAACCCATCTCTGGGAAACATCCACACACACAGACACTCATACACTACGGACAATTTAGCCTACCCAATTCACCTGTACCGCATGTCTTTGGACTGTGGGGGAAACCGGAGCACCCGGAGGAAACCCACGCAAATGCAGGGAGAACATGCAAACTCCACACAGAAACGCCAACTGAGCCGAGTTTCGAACCAGTGACCTTCTTGCTGTGGGGCGATAGCACTACCTACTGCACCACTGCTTCACCCTCTGTAGACATCTATTAGCCTACATATTTAATTTTGTTTGTTAAGCGCAGAGATTTGTTTCAAAACTATTTCTAAATTCAATTCTAGTAAACAAATAAATGAACAATAATAACGAAGGGTGGTCAAAAAACTGAGTTATATCAAAATATACGTGCTATTCTTATGCCCCATATAGTGATACATACGTCTCCAAAACCCAACAGGTGAACAAATCTAAACTTGTTTTTATTGAAACAAATATAAATGTGCAGATAATATATAATACAGATAATAATAATACTATTATATAAATGCAAATTGTCATGAATAAACTGAAAAAAAACCTTGAGATGATAATATGATATTTCATATAGAGATGAGATGATATTTTACAATGTATAAGGGTTAATTTACTCAAGAATGTAAATGTTGTTATTAATGACCTTCATTCATATGGTTTGTTCATATGCAAAGCACAAATGAAGGTATTTTAGATGAATTCCGAGAGCTCCCTCATCTTCCACAGCAATGGTCACAAGATGTCCAGAAAGTCCAGAAAAGCAACCAAAAACATTCTCAAAGCATTCCAGGGTGCACCTTTATTACATGCAATATGGTGTTGATGTTGTGCTGCTGACAATAATGCATACATCGATGATCAATAAAAGTGTCTGTTGTAAACATACATCCTGATCAGATGCCTAAGACATTGAAATAAGACATAAGACATTTATTTTGGTTATTTATGATTTACTTGACTATTATTTAAGCACAATCATTCCACATGACCTGTACCTGCATTTATAATTAGGGATTTTCCTGGCATCGGAGTAAATACCATCAAACAACTATAGATTTTTTTTGTTTATGCAGTCCCACAATGCCATGTGTTCAATTTTCAAACTGTGATTTAGGTCCAAGCAATTGTAGGCAATTGTCCATACTGTGCTAACTGTCTTTCAGGCATTCGGGAGAAAAAAGACAGGTAGCTATAAAATCACAATCCATCTCTCTTATATCTGGGCCGCAGCCACAACAGATGTACAGCTGGAAAACGTTACACTCCATATGGGTGTTATACTGCAAATGGGTTTAAATTTCTCATGCTGGAAAGAGACCCGTTTGTTTGGCAGGTTGCTGGTTTCATTTATGTTTTCTCCAGTTGTCTTTTCATAGTGATGACTTTTTTTATGGGTCGGAGTTTAACTTGGCAATCTAGTTATAAAAATCTACAGCTTGAACAGCTGGTAGGAAAGCATTTTCAGGATAAAGGATGAAGAACCCAGATGGCTTCTGATTCCTGCTCAGGTTGTTGACACATCTTACATTCTGTTCATTTTTTTATGTGAACTAAACTTCACTGAGATCATCAATGATGGGGTGTTAGGAAGTTTAAATGTTTGATACAGTTTGAATGTCTGTACATTGTTTATCATATGTGTCCATTAAGATCTTGAAAAATAATCAGTGTGTATATGAAGAGTTTAGATATAAAAACCTCTAAGTGCCATCTAAAATTAGCCTTTTTCTCAGTTCGTTGTTTGTAGTTTCAGTAATTTTGCTTTTATTGCAATAGGTCATAGGTTATTTTCATTGCCTTTAATGTGAAATAACTGAACATAAGCATAGGAGATTGAGAAAAATGCAACTTTTAAAAAACAAATTGCAGAGAGAACTTAAAAGTTTTGGCATCTGAACACTTTACACTGCAAAAAATGCTTTTCTTACTTAGATTTTTTTTAATCTTGTTTCTAGTCTAAATATCTCAATATTTTTTTAATCAATAAGCATTTTCTAGACAAGCAAAACTTATTGTCTTGTTTTAAGAATTATTATGCCAAAATTAAGTGAGTTTTTCCTTAAAATAAGCAAAGTAATCTGTCAACAGGGTAAGCAAAATAATCTTATTTTAAATCAAAAACAATATTATTTTTCTTACCCCATGGACAGATCACTTTGCTTGTTTTAAAGAGAAACTCACTCAATTTTAACTCATTATTTTGCAAAACATGACTATAATATTACGTGTCTATAAAATGTATCTTGATAATTTTTATTTTTTTTTTAGCATTTACTGGATTAATTAAATGTTAATATTTTATTTGTTTTATAAAGGTCTAATAAAAAATTTTCCGATTTGAATTAATAATAATGTGTTTTAAAGCATACTTTTTTCTTTTTTTTCAGAAAATGACAATTGGACAAAAATAAAATGTTTTTGTTTGTTGTTATTGAGAATCAGAGTTATTTTACCAAATATTGCTTTTCTTAACTTTACTAACTCATTTAAAATTAAAACATTTATTATTGTGTAAAAAATGTATAACATAGCTTTTTGCATTATTTTTGCATTATTTTGTACAAAAAGCAAATCTTTGTAAATAACGACAGTTTTATTAAAATATAGTGGTCATGAGTGGTTTACAGAATAAAACCAAAATTACGTTTATAAATCATAAATCCAAAATCTTTTATTTTATTATTTTATTTAAATTTTTTTTTTTTTTTTTTGCATATATACTGTCAAGTCCAAGATTATTAATACCCAGGATATGTATAATTTCAGGCTTAACTATATAGTAATATATCGTACACTGTCGTACACTGAAAAAAAATATTTCTGCAAAACTGTTGCAAACTATTTATATAGGCTGAATTTAGTAATGTTCAACTTAAGCACAATCTCCCCACAGCAAGAGTTGGCTGGGTCAGTTGGCATTTCTGTCTGGATTTTGCATGTTCTCCCTGTGTTGGGTTTCCTCCGGGTGCTCTCGTTTCCCCCACAAGTCCAAAGACATGCCGTATAGGTGAATTGAACTAAATTGGTCGTAGTGTATGTGTGTGAATGCAAGAGTGTATGGGTGTTTCCCAATGTTGGGTTGCAGCTGGTAGCACATCCACTGTGTAAAACATATGCTGGATAAGTTGGTGGTAAATTCCAGTGTGGCGACCCCTGATTAATAAAGGGACTAAGCCAAAAAGAAATGAATGAATCTGTCAATCAACTAAATAAGTTTGTTTAAATTCAGCCCATGAATTGTTTTCAAACACTTATCTAATAAAAAAATCAGTAAATCCAGTGAATCAACTCTGAATAATTTTTTTCAGTGTACTTCTACAAGAGCAGTTTGAGAACAGTTTCAAAGTAGCTTCCTTCAGCAATTTGTTTTTCCAAATGTGTCAGCTTATGATGTGTAATTAGTGCAAATGACTGGTGCTTACCCATGTATTTTCTGTTTGTGGTAGGAATGTGAGTTCAGACGGCGCAGAGGCGCGCAGACGCTTGAGGGAGTGTGAGGGACTGGTGGATGCTTTGCTGCATGCACTTCAGTCTGCTGTGGGCAAGAAGGACATGGATAACAAGGTAAGGGTTTTCAGCAGAAAGAGCTGCATGGTTCCTGCATACATCATTGTTTAATCGTCATTTCACAGGCACACTTTAAAAAACTGAACTGAATCATCATTAAAAACTGTTGAAATCAGAATAATTAAACCCCCTTTGAATTTTTTAAATCTTTTTTTTATATATATTTACCAAATTATGTTTTCAATAGTCTACAGAACAAACCATTGTTATACAATAACTTGCCTGATTACCCTAACCTGCCTAGTTAACTTAATTAACCTAGTCAAGCCTTTAAATGGCACTTTAAGCTGTATAGAAGTGTCTTGAAAAATATCTAGCAAAACAATATTTACTGTCATCATAGCAAAGATAAAATAAATCAGTTATTAGAACTGAGTTATTAAAACTATTATGTTTTAACTATGTTTAAATGCTGTGGACTACAAACCTCCAGCTGTTGCCGTGATTTCAAAGTGCAAATGTGGTGTAAAAATCACTTTAATATCATTCAGTTAAGTTTAATATAATCAATTAAAAGCATATTAGGCATCAATTAAAATCATAATCTCTTTAAGAGTAATAAAGCATGTCCTCCTAGGCTTCAGTTCATGGAATCAGGTAAACACAGTGGAGACACTTCCCTGTCTTAGCATATGTAACCCAGTGAGGTATAAAACAATGCATTGCATCGCAAAAACAAAACAATGCATCACTCGTCTATGTTGTGTAAAATGTTTGTAGCCCACCCCCCTGTTGTCTGCAACAATGCTCTCATGATACAGAAATGCTCAACAGAAATGACTGCAATTGGCTGTGAAGGTCAGTTCATCTCACTTCACTGAGTGTAAACACATTTACATGGACACTGGAGCATTTTATAGCCACAAAGATCTGTCGTTTCATCAGCAGATCGCTCGTCTACGTTTGCACTCAGTAAACATTAGTGAAGTGCGGTAAACTGATGACCTTTAGAGCCAATCATAATCATCTCTGTTGAGCCCTGTTGAACACAATGGCAAATCAACTGTGTTTAAGAATGTATCGAAAGAAATTCAGTTACGTGACAAGTCTAATATAGTGAAAGAATCATTTAATTTACTTGAGTTTGATAAATGGCATCTAAAACGTGTGTTTGGGAAAGATAACGTTAGCTAACTAGTGCTACTTCCCTTAACTTAGCTGAAAATGAAGTTGGATAACCCTTTTTATTTTCACTATCCATTCAGAAAGCAGTGAGATGATAAATTTGTGTCACTTTCTTTTCGCTAATAAGCCAGGTACACAACAATACGCCATCACAGACGCCGTTCCTGTGTGACTCCAGGTGACACTTCTGGGTTTCTTCTCACTGCAGCCTCGCTTTCGCTTTAAAAATGGCAGCCGCATTAAAATCAGTCTAGAAAAATAAAAACAACTTGACTATAGATGGGGGTTAAACTAAATGGACAAAGCAAACTGTTTCCTGAAATATAATCTAATTTAACATCGCTGAAATAATAGTGTGCAGTTTAGCTGTAAATACTTTACACATAAAAAAAAATGTGTTTATTTCTATGAAAGTACAGTTGGTTTCAAAATCACAAAAAAAGGATGTTCTGTTCAAAATGTGATGTTTTTTGGTTGAGCAGGGAGGAAATTAAGCATAAAAAATCTTCTTTTTTTAAATTAAACAATGCAGTGTCTATACTGCGATCTTGTCAGACTATAAAAAAACAACTATTGTTTGGTTATCCTTATAAAAATCGACAAAATGTGAAATATATGACTGCGTTTCTAATCAAATGAGCAAGACACAGCTTATCATGATTATAACACTGCATTTGTGCTGTATAATATCAAGTGATGTTTGTTCACGCATCAATTAAAACAGCAGGTTAAAAGATCAGTCCTGATCGTGCAGTGGTAAAAAAAAACAACAACACTTTATATATTTCCGTACACAAACCTTTAATAAACATTGGTACGTGTGTATCATTACATTGCTGATATAAACAGGCGATGTGATCCTGGATTAACATCTACGTTTGAAAATGAAATCCATACCTAATTCGTACCCCTAAACCTAACCCTGTAACTGTAAATTATTCCCAAACTCAGAGAGAATTAATAGTTGGGTAACAATAATGTAGAAGCACATGACTCTAACTGTAAGCCTAACCATAACATAAACTGTAAACCTATTCTTTAAATCTGACTGACTGATTGGAATGTTGTTCCAGGATCGACATGGATGTTACCTAGTTGGTAACATGAAAACATGAAAACATATATTGTTCATCCTAAAGTGGTTATTTTGCAATACTAATTGCCTTCCTGCACATTTTCCAACTTATTACTTTGCTTCTTTAAACATAAATAAATTGACCCACAGTACAGATTTGAATAGTTGTAATTTGAGAAAGGAAAGAGGCCATGCCATGTATCCAATTACATGCCTGGCATTGTGGCCATTTATACAGTTTAGCCAGACAAAAACATAGTACTGTAGTGTTATTTATACAGTTCAGCCCAAAAGTTTAGCCATTTATACAGTTTAGCTTAACAAAAACAGATTAGTACTATATAAACAGAGAAAACTATATTTTGATACATTTACAGTGCATCCGGAAAGTATTCATAGCGCTTCACTTATTCCACATTTTTTTTTATTTTACAGCCTTATTCCAAAATAGATCAAGTTTATTTATTTCCTTAAAATTCTAAATACAATACAACATAATGACAATGTGACAAAAGATTTCTTGAAATTGTTGCAAATATATTTAAAATAAAAAAGCTGAAAAATCACTTGTTCATAAGTATTCACAGCCTTTGCTCAATACTTTGTTGATGCACCTTTGGCAGCAATTACAGCCTCAAGTCCTTTTAAATATGATACCACAAGCTTGGCACACCTGTCTTTGGCATTTTTGGACATTCCTCTTTCCAGTACCTCTCAAGCTCTATCAGATTGTATGGGAAGCAACAGTGTACAGCCGTTTTCAGATCTCTACAGAGATGTTCAATACTATTTAGATCTGGGCTCTGGCTGGGACACTCAAGAACATTCACAGAGGTATTGTGAAGCCACTCCATTGATATTTTGGTGGTGTGCAGTGGGTCATTGTCCGGCTAGAAGATAAATCGTCGCCACAGTCTAAGTTCAAGTGTACTCTGAAGCAGGTATTTATTCAGGATGTCTCTCTACATTGCTGCATTCATCTTTCCCTCCATTTTGACTAGTCCTCCAGTTCCTGCTTCTGAAAAACATCCCCACAGCATGATACTGCCACCACCATGGATGGTATTGGCTTGGTGATAAGCGGTGCCTGGTTTTCTCTAAACGTAACACCTGGCATTCACTCTAAAGAGTTCAAGTTTAATCCCATCAGACCAAAGAATTTAAGCCTCTATCATACAGACCCGATTTGTGGATTGCTGCACAGATGGTTGTCCTTCTGTAAGGTTCTCCTTTCTCTAAAGAAGAACGCCGGAGCTCAGACAGAGTGACCATCCCGCTATTGATCACCTCCCTGATTAAGGCCCTTCTCCCCCGATCACTCAGCTTAGATGGCCGGCCAGCTCTAGGAAGAGTCATGGTGATTCCAAGCATCTTTCACTTACGGATGATGGAGGCCACTGTGCTCATTAGAACTTTCAGAGCAGCAGAAATTTTTGTGTAACCTTCCCCAGCCTTGTGCCTCAAGACAATCCTGTTTCAGAGATCTACAGACAATTCCTTTGTCTTCATGCTTGGTTTGTGCTTTGACATGCACTGTCAACCCTGGGACCTTATATGGACAGGTGGATGCCTTTTTAAATCATGTCCAATCACCTGAATTTACCACAGGTGAACTCCAATTAAGCTGCTGAAACATCTCAAGAATGTTCAGTGGAAACAGAATGTACCTGAGCGCAATTCTGAGCTTCGTGGCAAAGGCTGTGAATACTTATGTATTGATTTTTCAATACATGGGGTATTGTGTTTAGAGTTTTGGAGGAAATAAATGAATTTAATCCATTTTGGAATAAGGCTGTAACATTGAAAACATGCGGAAAAAGTGAAGCGCTATAAATACTTTCCGGATGCACTGTGTGTAGCTTTTAATAGACAAAGATTACATTTTGTGTGTTTTGCATTTATGTAATTGTTTTCAATATTTCTCTGTTGCTGTCTGTCAGTCTGTGGAAAACTGTGTTTGCATCATGAGGAACCTGTCGTACCATGTACACAAGGAGGTTCCAGGAGCTGAGAAGTTTCAGGACCCGTCGGCTCTACAGGCCCCCGGCTCTGCTGGCACTCAGAGGAAGAAGAAAGATGATGCAGGCTGTTTCGGCGGAAAGAAAGCCAAAGGTCATTATCGAATTCTCCTTCATCTCATTTGTGTGCTTTATATTTAAACAAAACAAAAAAAAAACATTACTGACTGCCTTAATATTGCTGCCACAGGTTCACTGAGGGCAGTATGATTCTAGCATTAACACATCAACATCATAAATAGCAGAGCTAAATGGCGCTCGAGTCTTTGTTTGTTTGCCCTGTGCTCTTTTGTGGCTCACAATTCATAATTGGAGTGTGTGTGTCTGGGGTACCAATGTTGAATCAATATTCATCTTGACGTGAAAGGTGGGTGGAGGTTCCGTGTCTGTGGTGTTGCATTGTCTAAGCTGAATAAGTTCTCTGAACACTTTGCTTTTAAACTGTTGTCGCTAAACGTACTCCTCCTTAACACTGTGCCAAGAGAGCTGATTCATTTTCAGGTTCCAGATGGTTACAAGGATTTTTTTTGAGTAATATTAATTATTTTTTGTTCTCTCCCAAATGAACTGATGAGAGCCCTCTTGAATGCATTATTGAACTGAATTAGCAAATTGATTCTCCAACAGGCGTACTCATTAAACACCCTGAAGGAGCAAAGAAACCAGAATGTGCGGGAAAAAATGGTAATGATAAAAACATTTATGGCATACTGTGCCTCATGGACTATTTTTAATGAAGTTTGTTTATCTGTCAGTGGCCCTGGAGACATGAACTGTAGATGCCAGTATATTTACACCAAAAATTGCCTCAATCAAGCATTAAGATAAATTGTAAAATACTTTCGACATACCCATTTTTCTATTAATATTATTCTTGAGTTAAAAGGCATTCTGTAACTGACCCTTGCAACGTGTCCTAACAGCAACAAGATTGCAAGGACAAACAATTTGTCTGTCCACATTAGACATGACACAACAGAAGCATTTAAATACCACACACATTCAGAAGTGCAGATTACTCACTGCACACCCAAATAAATGAACAGCTTTATTATCGAATTATTGAATTGTTCGTGATGAAACAAAAGAATGCACACACTGTTTATTTTACCTATTTTGCAAAAGTACTTTTATTGTAAAAAAAAAAACACTTTTATTGTTGTTGTGAGTGTACAGAAAAAGTAGACAACTAGCAGATTCAAATGGTGTATAACATGTATTTGTGTGACCAAAATCAACAGAGTATTCTTAGTGTCTTTTGCATTGATAAGGGGGAAAAAACCTGCTAATCACACCAGTGTGATCTGGTGTCCTCAGAGGGTTAAACCTCATTAACATTATTAAAAGTACATTCTGAGTGACTGTCGTTTTTGGGTTAAGTTCTGCCATTCAATATAAATGTCACATAAAATGGTAACTACTGGTAGCATTTAACATTGAATTAAGCACATAATCAGTTCCTGATGTGATTATTGTCAAAGTAGTATATGCTGTTGTTTAGCCATGACAGAGCCGAAATAGAAGTCGTTTCTAAAATCATAGCTTTGGGAATCACTGTTGCTGATGCAGTGAGTTGCTGCATGAACTCCTCAGAAAAACAAATAGTAATAAGCAGTGTGCATTTGAATGATATATTCAGACTTGACATGAAGTAAACAAATAAAAAATTAACGTTATAGCCTGCAGGTCACAGGATAAAACTGAACTGAAACATCACCTAACAAAACAGACTGACGGTAGCAAAAAGATGATTCCCCAGATGTCAGAGATGACTGACACCCTTAGAGCTTTTTAGATTAAAAGCAGCCATCTAGATCAGTGGTTTTCATTTTAATTGATGTGACCCTTAATATAAAACCATTTAAATGCAAGTCAAGTTGTAAGAAGAGCATCAAACACTCCATTAGTTTTAGTTTTAGTACAGATAATAGTAAGGTGTCATTTGAAACGGTAAATAATTGATTTTTGGGTGGGCTTTTGTTAAATAAAGAAAAAACAAACAGGTCTCACTTTTTTTACTGGATATTATGACAAGAGTAGACCTGAGCTTTGTATATTTTTACCTGCTATTTGCATTTCACACTCAAGAATTTCTGCAAAATGGTTTAAGATCAAATCAATCAGTGTCTTTTTTGAGTGTAAGTGTAGTTGGAGTAAATAGTGAGAGGGGATCCGGAAATGTCTTTGTGCTGGGACTCAAACTCAGGACACCTGCAGCACAGTTTCCCTACAGTCTATATTGATGCACTGACCACTATTATACTGTACATAATTGTTCAGTTTTTGAACAAAATGGCAGACAGCAACAGGGACAGATAATACAGGCACTATAATTAATCAGATTCTGTAGTAAATGTAGTCCTGCTCACTTTGACTATAAGCACATACTGTAAAAGTTACATCTTGGCTTTGCACAAATAAAGCAGAATGAGTGTCATTTTTGCCCCACTATCATGTTAGAAACTAAATTAAAAAAAAAATTCATTTTTATTATTTAGCAGTTGGGTTGGGCATGTTAGCATGTCTATCGCAGATGGCCGATCGACATGCTGATCGGGCATGGTGATCCTCCGCCTCGCCCGTCACAACAGCAACCCGCTCACGAAAAATATTCACGTAGGCTTCATTACACGTATATGTCTTTTAAGTTTTTTTTTAAATGGCATTTTAAAATAAAACTGATTCTTGTTCACATTGCCGTTTCACCTACCATTTCTGAAAAGCCCTCCTTCCGCACTATACTGCTAAAAAAACATATCACATGACCACACACACACACACACTTTGTCATGCGCTGCAGCGTACGCTCCAGCAGTCAGTTGGTGCTTTGAGAACAAAACCCCAGGGAGCAGTGCACGTCGGATAGTTTATCAAGAATCTGCCGCTGGATCGCGTCTCACTATAGTTGTTAAACGTGATATTTAATTAAACTTGTCTCTACTATGACTCTTTTGTCTTTTGAATCTATCAGGTAACGTGTCACAGCATCAGTACACTGCTTCAATCTTTCACTTTCACACTTGTACTTAGTAATTTTAGTGAAAACCTCAGGTTGGTCCTTGTTGGTTGACCAACCAAGTTTGTTAATGCCATTATAATGACACAGATCACTCTGCAGAAAAAGTGAATGGCAGGTGGTAATTTGTGTGTAACTTATCTTTATTTTTTTATGATTTGGTTATGGGTAAAACAAAGCCCATGCAGCTCGAGTAGTTGAAATGGTAGGCTACAAATAATTAATTCGTTATAATTAATAATTTTTTTATAAATAAATAATTCACCACCACCTGCGGCGACAATGCCACCATCCATGGTGATGTTTAACATTAGACATCGTATGATGCCAAATTGGTCGACATCGCCCAACCCTATTTAACAATATAACTGATTTACTGCAGTTTTTTTTTTTTTTTTTCAAATAAACAAGCATAATAGACCAATCTAACCAATCCCAAATCTTTGAAATGAGTGTATACACTGTTTAAATAACAATCTGTAAATACATTTCTACTCAACAGACTGGCAGCAGTTAATTCAGAGATATTTTGTTTGAATACAGAAAATAACCATTTCACCAAATTACAAGGTGTAACTGTAAAGCAAACAGAACAAAAAAAAAAACAGAACAGACTTTACAGTTATAATTCATGAAATTACAGTATATTACTTTTGATCGTTTGTGTTTAAAATATATGTCACATTATATTTCAAAAGCAAAGCAAATGGTCAGATTAAACATTTGACTTTTCATTGTGTTTTCACTTACACTTGAAGTCTTTGCCGCTTACAAATGTCTGTGCAATTACAGTAGATGTGATGTGAATTCCGGTAGCTAGAGCAGAATAACTTGCCTTTGACAGTTTAGCTCACCATGTAATTTGCTCAGCCAGATTTTCTCCAAGCAGTTCCATCACAGTAAGAGAAAACTTGACTGTAGAAGATCGATTATGTTAACGCTCACTATAGCGGTCCAGCAGCAAATACTCCTGTTACATTTTGAATAGCTCTGACACATTGCAAAACACAATGGCATTTGAAACATGTGAATACACTCTGTTTCTTCTAACCGTTTAGTGAATTTGCTGCACAAACTGATAAACTTGTCTCTCCGTCCTCTGGAGCCTTCTTTTGAGGAAACTAATGAAACTGACTCTCTCCTCCACAGCAAACTTGCTTTAAAACTTTATAAACACTATGCTTTTGCTGTGTACTTTTAAGTGATCCACAAATAAGTTCTGTCTCCTTTAATACACACACACACACACACTGAATCTCCTCTCTTCTTTCCCTGCCTGCTTTTTTTTCTTACTGGTTTTTGCTGCCGTTCCTGCGTTGGCTAACTCTAGAGGAATGGTTTAATCAAGGTGAGTGTTTCTTCCTACTTTTTTTTTTCGTCTGACTTACTCCCCTCAGCATACGTTCACATATCATCTTCTATCTTCTATCTTCATCAAAAAAAAAAAGTTTTCATCAGCACCTCTTTTCCACTCTTTCACCTTTCTTTCTTAAATGACTAGCCAATGTTCACCTCTTCAAGGAAATGTCAAACCTGTGCCAATTTAGACGGTTCAAAGCCTGCTGGCATAGACGTCTGTTGATATCTGTTAACAAAGTCTGGCTTTTGCTTTCTGTCATCTTGGCCATTGCTTTAAAAGGATTGTCCATCCCGAAAAAAAAAGTCATCATTTACTCGCCCTCATGTTGATCCAGCTTTAGTGTGGACACAGAATGGAAAGCTTAGGCAAAATATTCACACTGCTCTTTACCATATAGCAAGGACAAAGCCATGTCTTTAATGTTTGCTTTCTAAAATAAAATAAATTAGTGTCTAAATTTTTTTCTAAGGTAATTATTTAGATATAAATATATTAAAAAGCCTAAACGTTTCTTGCCTTGTTGCATTTAGATGGGGAATATGTTGAGAAGTTAGCATTACTGTGTTTGGTTTAACATTTTTAGCATAAAACAGTGATGTTTTAATAGTTTGTTACATCAGTCTTGCTCAGGGTGGCTCAGTGGTCAGTACTGTTGCCTCACAGAAAACATCGCTGGTTTGAGTCCCGGTTGGGTCAGTGGGTATTTCTATGTGGAGTTTACATGTTCTCCCCGTGTTCGCGTGGGTTTTCTCCGTATGTTCCAGTTTCTCCCACTGTCCAAAGACATGCATTATAGGTGAATTGAATAAACTAAATTGGTCGTAGTGTATGTGTATGAATGAGTGTGTTATGGGTGTTTCCCAGTTATAGGTTGCAGCTGAAAGGGCATCCGCTGTGTAAAGTTGGTGTTTTATTCCACTGTGGCGACCTCTGATGAATAAAGAGACTAAGCCAAGGAAAATTAATAAATGAATCAGTCTTGCTTTGTTTTCCTTCTACATTAAAATGAAACTTTGCACTGAAGTTTGAGCTCTGTTGTTTAACACGTAACATTTAATGTAACAATTTTGCCATTTTTAATTCTGTCTATGTGTCATAGGTGAATAGTAACCAGAGCCTGTCAAACTTCAACTTAAAAATCATTTTAAAAGATTCTATAGTGCAAAGGGTTAGTTCACCCAAATAGAAATTTATGTTATTAATTACTCAGTCTTTATTTTTCATTCTCTTAAACCTTTATTCAGAACTTAAAATTAAGATTTTTTTAAATCCAATTAAAAACAATTCAATTGATACTGAAAGTCTATTCACAACAATCTCTGGCTTTAAATGATTCATGCAGAGATCAAAAATTTTATCAAGCAGTTTCTTATAACTTTTTAATCACTTTATAAGATTAACCTACATTGTAAAACAAAATCCATAAATGTGCAGTTTTCTGTATTTTGTGAGTCATGTTTTTATTACATTTTTCAGCCATATATGTATGCTTTTGAATTACATTATAAATTATCTTTCTTTCAACAACTTTAAACCTTGAAAAGTAAAAAAAAAAAAAAAAAAAAAAGACTTTTATAAACATTTTTTGTAGTTTAACATGATATTATGTATGGGATAGTATTGTACATTAAGGTACAAAAACCTTGTAATAAACATTTCCTCTTATATTACACACTTATTTAGATTACTTCTTAAACATTATATTATTTCAAACTACTAAAATGTCAATAAATTTTAAGATTTTTTTTTATTATTAAATCCAAGAGCTCTTTCATCCTCCATAGACAGCAGTGGTGGATTTAGGCATGGGCAATATGGGCGATCGCTCAGGGCAGCATCTTGCTGAAAACAGTACGGGGAGACATGCAGATATAGATTACTTAATGCAAATATTAATAATCCCAGAATAAAGATGTTAGGGGCCATTCACATTTAGCGTCTTTTGCACACGCAAATCTGTTACTCTGTATGCAACCAAAACAACACTGGTGAAACCAAACTGACGCATACGTGTAGAGAAACCTTTCTGCCCTGCTCCTGGTATGAATCCCAGTTGTTTACATGCACACCAATAAAATATGCGCCACTCATTTGCTGTGAAACTGGAGTATGTAGTGGTTTGTCTAAAGTGCCATTCAAACTACAATCGCCACAGTCCAGAGAAGGAACCAAAAACTTTATCAAAACAACTGTTATCATATGATGCTCCCAGAACAATTTTATTTTTTTAAGTTTATACAACTCTATCCACCAATACCTTCTGTCCTGTATCAGGTCATCAGTGCGACATGGAAGCACTGTGTAGCCCATAGTAAACACATATTATGACCTGAAGAAGTTGTTTCTACGGTTCTTTTAGCACACAATAGTGTTCTTGGAGCTACTAACTGTCTAAAGTCACATGAAATGTTTTGGTTTCTTTTCTGGACTTCGTCTCGGGACTGTTGCTGTATATGAAGGATGAGAAAGCTCTTCAATTTCATCTAAAATATTTCATTTGTCTTCTGAAAATGAACAAAGATCTCAGTGGGTTGGAATGACACGAGGGTGCGTAATTAATAACACAATTTACATTTTTGGGTGAACTAACAATTTAATAAGCTGACAAGTGCTATAGATAAAGAGATTATTTTACTGAAAAAAATACAGTGATATTATAACCACTTGAAATATAGTGTGACTGTTTGAGTAATTTGGATAGTTTTTAAAATCTTTTTTTGTTGTTTATTTTGGAGCACATCAAGTATGTTTGGAACAATATGAGGGTGAGTAAATGATGGCCAAATGTTTATTTTGTAGATGAACTGTCCCTTCATCATGCTCTCTGTCTGTGATAGTGCTTCCGTTGCTTCACTCTAGTCGTCCTCCATGACAAATCCTCTGCATTTTTAATGGGGGTTCCCACTCTTGGGAGCTGATGTCAAGAGTCTGTGTCTGCGTATATGTGTAGTAGCTCGCTTTATATATGCCACTGTGACTGTGTATGTGTCTCTGAAACTCTGGTCTACTTGACATTTTCATAGCAGAAAAATCCATCTCTCACACAGTGACACTTACAACTGCTCTCTGTGTGTGTGCGCGCGCGCGAGTCGTTCTCTCACTCTGTCTTCCTCTTCTTCACTTAGGGAGGAAAAACGGAGAGCATGACAAAAACTATGACACGTTGGACCTCCCCAAGCGCACAGAGCCCACTAAAGGTACGTCTTCCTTTGACACCACCAAATTATTACATCTTTAAGCTGTCAGTCCTCTGAATAAGGGACAGGAAAGACCTGACTCTTCGCTCTTGCTCAGAGAAATCTGGTTATGAAAGGTTTTTTTGTTTTGAGGAAGTGAATTCTACGATGAAAAGTACGATATAAATAGACCTTCTTTAGCACAAACTGAATGAACAACATGCTGTTAGTTTGCTGAAGGATGTTTTGGGAATTGAAGCTCTGTTTCAAAACATAGTGAGCTGTCTATTGAGGCTATTTGTAAAGCTTAATATGAAGATTGGGGTTAAGTCTGTTCCTATGATATGTTACTTTGTCAAATTAACTGTAAAGTAAATTCTAGAATGCTTTGTGACAGGATTTATCCATCAAACATGACAAACATGCTCAAAAGTGATTGTAAACACTGTTTATTCTATTAAAAAAAAAAAGTTTCTTTGAGCTTTCTTTTCATCACCAAATCCTGAAAAATGTAACGTTTAAGAAAATATATATATATTATATATTACTTGCCGGAACATCTGTCTTTGTCTTGGTTATTTGCCCAATGCCAGTTTAGCCAATTATATTTCAGCACTCTGGGTACAGAAACTGCGTATTTGATTCATTCAGTCATGAAGGCTCTCACAGTATGCATTTGTGACCTAATGCGACCTCTGATGGACAGTAGCAGACTCCGAAATAAGACACAGATTCAGAATTCCACATGAGGTGGTTGTTAATTAGCAAATAATATAAATATTACGAACGTAAACATTAGGTGAGCAAGTTGCATTGTTACCCTGTGTCCTAACAACACACTACATGATAATATTTGCAGTCATAAGCAATTTGGCTGTTTGCACCAAACGAAACACAACCGAAATTTAAACACAGCCATTCAGAAGCACAGAATAGTGCACTTACTGCACCCCAATGAAATGGTAAGGTTTATAATCTAATTAATACATATTAAAGCTCTTTAACATTATTAAATGTATGCTGAATCACTGATATAGTATGTTGACTTGCACTGAGTCACATCTCTAAAGTTCAATTTCAAACTGTTGTTGCTATTTGTTGCTGCTTCCAGTAGTATGGCAATAAATGACACAATAAAGCACATGAGGTGTACCTGAGGTGAACATTGTCAGTTTGTCCTGTTGTTCAGCTGCAAGAAATAAAAGTCCTTTATAAAATTAAAATTTCAGGTGTTGGTTAGACCAAAAGCTCCTTTTAATATGGAAAATATTCCATCTATGACGTGCCGTTGCTTTTATTTAGAACACGACTTAAATCAGCATTTAGGCTCACTCCTGTTGGTGTCGTCAACCTGCTCTTGCATTTGTTTTGATCCTAGTTGGTACCTAGTTCAACCACTTGGTATCAAACTTACATACTGCACCTTTAAATGTGATCAGTTGAGTATGATTAAAATAGGAAGTAAACCTATTACCTTTATGAATTATGGAGAAATTGAACTATATGTGGGGTCACAGTGGTGCAGTGGGTAGCACGCTCACCTCACAGCAAGAAAGTTGCTGGTTTGAACATCAGCTGGGTCAGTTGGCGTTTCTAGAGTTTGCATGTTCTCCCTGTGTTCACGTGGGTTTCCTCCAGGTGCTCTGATTTCCCCCACAAAGTCCAAAGACATGTGGTATAGGTGTATTGGGGAAGCTAAATTGTTCATAAAGTCTGTGTGTGAGCGAGTGTGTATGGATTTTTCCCAGAGATGGGTTGCGGCTGGAAGGGCATCCGCTGCGTAAAAACTTGCTGGATAAGTTGGCGGTTCATTCCGCTGTGGCGACCCCGGATTAATAAAGGGACTAAGCCGACAAGAAAATGAATGAATGAATGAAGGTTATTCAATTTAATAAATGAACTAATCGCTTTGGTTATTCTGCAAAATCTTTTCAGTGTGTAATATAAAAAACTATTAAACCCCATAGCCATTTTCAACATTGATCATTCAATAATTGATGTTAATTATAATACTTTTAACATTAATATTTTTGCAGCATCTGAATTCTTAATTTTTTTCATCTGCAAGTTTTCATTATAGTTTTATATTTGTTTAATGACATTAATGCTCCACATGACCAGAAGGAAACTGATTAATTAAAACCACAGAATCTATCATGCAGGAATTGCTGCTGGTTTAAAAATAAACGATTGTGAAGTTTTCAGGATGATTGTTAATGCTGCATCAGTAGAGTTCTAGAGCAGAGCTTCAGTATGCATAGAGTGCAGATCCACTGGGAATGCCAGCGATCAGGTAACAGTGCTCTTCTGTCTGGGCCTTTCATCATTATGACAAACACAGCCATAACCTTCAGCTAAATAGACACTGTATATTAGTGAGACCGATATCCCTGACATCAGTTTATCTGCAGTCCATATTGAGATGGGTGATGGGTAAAACCAAATGCTTGAGAGAGATGCTCAGACTCCTTTAGCTTGTAATTTTCTGCAAAGGAATCATAAGGTATGAATTCTGGAGACAAATTCAAACAAGCTATGGTGCAATGCAGTGGAAAGGAAAAGGGTTGAGACTTGAAAAACCTTGAAAAAGAGCAGTCTTAGTGACGATGGCTGAAGATGTTTGTCTCTATTTACACCCCTGAAGAGTCATCAGGGAGACACTCAATACCTCTTTGCTTCTGACGGACTGATCTACAGTAGGATCATTTTACCTCAGAGTTTAACTTCGTGAGAGAGGATGGTGCTTTATGGAGGCTTGTTTTTTGTGTATTACTGTAGATGAGCTACAAAGAGGGATGACAAATAGATCATTTTTAGTTGACCTGATTTTTTGTTTGTGTGTGTGAGACTGTGATGGAATGTTTGTGATCCTGTTAAAGAAGAGAAATACTGTTTACTGATCTCCCCCTCATGATAGGACCATCATCTGTGTATTGTTTGGTTATAAAAGAGTAAGATGAGGGAGAATGAATAAATAGGAATCATGTAAAGTCAGATCTCTATCATTTTTGCTGGAATAATTGCTGTGAAAATCTGTGGAGTTTAATGTTCTTAAGTAGAAAACAAAGGGTTTGTTAAAAAATGTGTGTATATATGAAATGTAAAAATCAGAAATATTATATATTTTATCTTAAGCAGTTTCATTTATACTGTGGTTTGAAGGTTTAGTTTTTTATATTAAATTTATCAAAAGTGAAAGCAAAGAGTTATTAAAATGCGTTAAAAGCCTGATAACATTTCTCCCAAATTTCAGTTTGAGAACATCAGTGTGCGTACATCTAGAAAAATGTTAAAGACCAAGCCAAACACAATAGAAAAAAAGCCAATCCCTAATCTATTTTTTTACCCCACCCCTTCTCCTTGGCCCTTGAAACAGAGTGTGAAGAGGAAGAGCTTCAAATTTTAAACCTAGAAAATGGGACAGCATGAAAAAAAACAGTCCCGAAAAATCTCAGTTTCAAGGGCTATGTAGACCTTTCCCTTAGCCCTGCACCTTCAAGCTAAAGACAACTGGGACACCCCTACCCTTTTACGTAAACGTGCAAAATAAGGGGGAAGGGCTATGGGGGAAAATTTGGATTGGGCCAAATAAATAAAAAAATCGGTAAGCTGCTGCTTTAGTTCTCAAAAGATTAATTTAATTGGACAACATTTTAACCCACAAGGTCCCGATGAAGACATTGTAGGTTGAAATGTTGTCCAATTAAATTAATCTTTTGAGAGCTGAAGTTGCAGTGTGCCGATGTTTTTGACTTGTTTTTGAATATATATATATATATATATATTGTAAATACAGAAAAATGACTAAATATATATATATATATATATATATATATATATATATATATATATATATATATATATATATATATTATGAATATATATATATATTATGAATATATATATATATATTATGAATATATATATATATATATTATGAATATATATATATATATATATATATATATATATATATATATATTGTCATTTAGAGCTGGGTTTTTTTTCCAAAAAATGACAAGTGGTCATAATAACACAAGTTTCGGTTTATTGTGATATAAAACCTGCATTATTTCATTGAAGTTTTTACTGCTATATTTAATAAAACTTTTTTATTTTTATGCACAAATAACATATCAATAAAAATGGAACATTCTTATTTTCATAAGTCAGGATATTTTACAATCTTGCTGTTTTACTCCTTTATAATATCAAGTCAAATAAAGGCAGCATTGTTAAGAACATTAAATCAGTAATACAGTAAAATTGTTCTCTGCATTTTTGTAAGGTTTAAAGCTCTTTTGTTCATCTGAGCTCTATAGGTGTTGCAGTTGTGCGTAAATCTGCAGCGTTCTCTGTGGGCTTGTGTGTGAGCCAAAAGGGCTTGTGTGCATGTGAATGTGCTGACTATTGCAGAACTCAACAAAGCCTTGTTTGTTTTTGTGTGTGCGTCTGCTAGTGTGTATTTCAACTTTTCTCACAAAGCTTTGAGGTCAGTTGACCTTCAGCTGAAATCATGTATTGGTTTAAACTGTCAACGAATTTTGTTTTTGATTGAGTGTTTCACTGAGTAAATAATAGATGCTGGCCAGGAGCGTCAAGTTTCAGATTTGTAAAGTTGCAGGGTTGCCTAAAATTATAAGGGATTGGCTGAAAGTCATATTCTAAGAATATGGTTTTCACTAAATGCGGACATTATACAAAATGAGCATCAGGGCTGTAATGTAACTAGAAAAAAGTTCCACAAATAAGGGTTGCAAAAAATGCAGCTAAAATAAACTACTGCGGCTGCCACAGTTCAAGTTGAATGTGAAAAGCTTTTGCTTGGCCGAACATTATAACCTATTACACATGATTCTATTCAGCTTAACGCAATAGTCAATAAGAGTTGCTTGATTCAGCACTTTTCATCCCTTACATATTTCATTTTTGCAGTGTACATCTAATCCCAAATGTGTATGGAGACATGCTAAAGGAGTTTCTTGAAATCTCTGAAGCCCAATGAAGTTTCTGTTGTCAGT